ATTTATGACATACCTAGGTAAGGTCAAATGAGCCAACAACTTCACTGATGTCATAGCATACAGTGTATGTCTTTCCTACCCACCATTTGAATGGGCAGCGGGTCTTCGACAGCGGTATTGCGGTGATTGAAGGTCATTCAAAATATCCGGTGGGTCCGAGAGTTGTACCCAGGTGATCCTGGACATGCCAGTCTGACAGGTCTTCATGTCAGACCAAACCCAGTGCATCTTGAAAGCATAATCCCAGTAGCCCCAAGGAACATAGGAACGACAGCCAAGTATATACCATGGGCATCTAGACTTGTCCGACGGAGATGCATACTTCCACCCCTTGCAAACCGATAGAAATCTCTGCAATCGCATTCGTTCTCGCAAGTTTCGAAATTACTGCATCGGGAAACGCCCGCAGGAGGCGTCCATCGTGTATCGGCGTTCAGCGAACAGGCGGAGGTGGTAAAAAGGAAAATTTGATGCCATCCCATCTGCACGGTTACCAAAGCTCCCTGTCCGCGGCTGACTCGCGCGTTCATTGGCTGTCGCAAGCAGCAAGCCTCACCAACGAGCTTCAGAGCATCCCGAGGTCGCGACTTCACGACGTGCGCGAACGTGAAGGATGACCGTAAGATCCAATGCAGATCGTCTAGTTGAGCGCATAGCCTCGATGTAAATGGCTCGCACGTGGTGAACTTCGTAATGGAAATCCTAAAAGCCGAGCATTTGGTGATCACGCGCGAACCAGCGCGTCGGATTGTCAGCGCCTTCATGCACCCGGCTGCAGGCCAGTTAGTCCCCGCTTTACGCCATTCGACGCCGTGCTTGTGTATATAGAACCCTGATTCCCATCTTTTCCAGTGCCACGGGAATATCCAACCGCGGACTTTGAGATCGCGGTTCTTGTTGAGGTAGTTTGGTTGGCCAATTGCTTCTCTGAGGGACCTGAGCTTTGTCGGTACGACGTCATCCTCGGATAATCTTTGAACGCGAGCCGGAGATCTTCAAGACCGCGACTTTTGCGATATTCTTGACACGACTTATTCATATTTTATTTTTCTGGAAAGGGGGGAGATATTAGCCCAGCATGTCGCTCACTCAACGAGTGACATCGATGGAGGAGCATGAGCCGTGGAGTAGAGAGGCGAGTCCGGACTCCAGGCACCGGAAGATGAGCTTCAACCCAGTCGGCACCTGGACCGAACAAACAGGCGAAGAGCCAACCATAGGCGCATTTGAAGTACCTAGGTGGAAAAGGCTGCGTATGTATCCCGGAACACAGCATGGGTGTATACAAGCTAACATCGCGTAGTCCAGGTCTTCTTCGCCGTTATCTACTGCCTCTTCGCCGCCGGTGTCGTCTTCGGTTACGCCGCGATAAAACCCGTACTCCTCGAGGAAGGTGTCTACAGAGACTACTGCACAAAAGAAGAGCTGGATCAAGATGTTCACGTCTGCTACGAACAGGAGCTCCGGCTCAACCTCATGTTTACGATCGCTGCCGTGTCTACGAATGTCGTCGCGCTTCCCGTCGGTACAATCCTCGATCGCTTCGGACCACGCGTGTGCGGAATAACTGGTGCGATATCCATAACGATTGGCGCATTGCTTTTCGCATTCGCGAAGGAATTGGCTTTCGACGCGTTTATCCCTGGATACTTATTCATGGCGCTGGGTGGACCATTTATCTTCATCTCGTCGTTCCAGCTCAGCAACACGTTTCCGCAATACTCTGGACTCATCCTGGCACTTTTGACTGGAGCTTTCGATACCTCGAGCGCGATCTTCTTGATGTACCGACTCATCTACCAAGGCACCGATGGCAATTTTTCGATCAAGAAGTTCTTCCTTATCTACCTTATCGTCCCGGCATTTATCCTCGCAGTCCAGATTCTGTTCATGCCATCAGTATCGTACAAGACAGTTGGTGAACTCGTTACTAGCGCGGAGGAGGAGCAAGTCATCCACGACTCGGACGACGAAATCGAAGATGCAGCGACTGTGCGAAGCCTGCAAGATGCGCGACGAGCACACCGCGACAGTATTGTCAGCGAAATTACGTCTTTGCTTGGCACGAAAGATGGTCAGAAGCAGGCACAAGAGGAAGACAAGAAGAAGAACATTTCAGGTGTATGGGGTGCGCTACACGGTCGCACCGCCAGCCAGCAGATCCGCACACCCTGGTTCATTCTCATCACGTTGTTCACTGTGCTGCAGATGACGCGTATCAACTACTTTGTTGCTACAATTCGGACGCAGTACACATATCTTTTCCATGACTATGAGAAGGCGGTCGAGATCAACAACTTCTTCGATGTTGCGCTTCCAGTTGGTGGTGTTTTGTCTGTACCGTTCATCGGTCTGCTTCTGGACAACACAAGCACTACTTTTACGATGGCGCTACTCGTCACTGTTGCTACCACAATTGGTGTGCTAGGCGTGATTCCGGAGACATGGGCCGCATACGCAAACATTGTCCTCTTCGTGCTTTACCGACCCTTGTACTACACTGCAGTTTCGTAAGTTGTCTAATCCTCCGCTCTCAAGCTCCTTGCTAACACTGCTACCAGCGACTACTCTGCCAAAGTCTTCGGTTTCGCCACCTTTGGAAAAGTCTACGGCCTCATCATCTGCCTCGCTGGTGTTCTCAACTTCTCGCAATCTGCTCTCGACGCCGCTACACACAAGACCTTCAAGAACGACCCTGTTCCTATCAACGTCATCTTGCTTAGCTTGGCATTGCTCGTCGGTCTAGCCCTTGTGGCCTTTGTATGGAGAAAGAGCCATAGAATCCAAAGGGAGAACATCGAAGAGGAGGCTGAGGAAGCAAGAGAGTCGCTTATGCCAGATGCTAGTGGAAGCCAAGGAGCGAATGGCTATGGGTCGATGAATGGAAGTGGGACTGTCAGTCCTAGTGAAGACAACAGGGGGAGACGACTGTGAGTCTGACATATGCAAATCGGTTACACAAAAATATCGACCCGCGCAACGATTTTCAGCTCAGTTCTGAGTCGTCTTTCTATTGGGATATCGGCATGGCGAGGCGTTCGGGAGCGTTTCGCTGGGCATTTGTGGAATTCAATGACGGCCCTGAAGACAGGTCGCATACTACTCTGTACAGAAGGCTGAATCAATCACGATAAATGGCGCTTCTATTGTAGGCACTTGCGATGTCACTGCTGACTGATTAACATAGCACTGCTTCTTCTGTATATAGGCAGATTGAGCCGCCATTACTACTGTTTTCAACAAAGTCACAACGATTGGCTGTTCTGTGTTGCTTCCAGACTAGCCTTGTGAATGCCCTACTATGGCTGGCTAGGTAAGCGGGATCATGGCTGCGACCCCAGTATCTCGGTCAAGGATCAGCGCGGGTGAGTGGTTTGCAGTGTTTTACTATACGACTTCCCCGCGGCACAAGGCTATGGCGTTCTGGCAGGGGCTGTGACTGGGAGAAGCGCACCCAAGCTCAGGGAGCGTTACATCTCAATGGCACCCGAGCCTTGTCAGGCGCACTTCGCCATATATTAGCCAGTTGAGCATCATGCGTGGCTCCAGCTGAAGATTTCATTGCGATGTTCATCGCTGCATCATGCTGCAGCTCACCTGCATGTAAGCTCCTATAAAGGCGGTATTTCCCTTCTGCTCTCCCGCACACGTTTCTGTCACAATTGACCTAAGTTAGCCTGATGCGATGGCGTTCGTTTCTAAAGCCCTGATTGCTCATCATAATGATGGTAAGGGCATAGGCATTGCGAATATATTCCCCCAGAAAAGATGGCGCTTCATGTTCTACCTCCGAGTCCTGCTCCAGATCGGGATGGGATTGATGATGATGACGAGTTGGTTCATTTGGGTTTGGATACCGATCAGACTATCATCGCGACTTTTAGCGAAATGCGGACTCGGTAAAGGAGACTTCCTCAGCTCCCTCATCATACGCGAGATCTATCTGGTTTGTGAATGAAGCGTCATTACTTGGATCTGAGTAAAAGCTAATAGAATCCAGAAATCCTTCTTAGAAATAATTTACCGTCAAAGGAACCCCTCCTGGAGGTTCTTTTGGGTCATGTACTTTCTGTGCGCAAAAGACGGAACTGAATTCATTGAGGACTACACTGCGGCGTGGAGCACTCAACCAGGTTATGATGCGGAAGTGTTCATGTTCATAGACAATGGCCAATGTCTCACAGTTCCCTGCTTTAAAGTCACTGCGAACGTAGAAGACAAGGCGCTTCTAGAACATCTGCGTGCTTTCTACAACTTAGCCCGGATGAATCTTGGCCTTTTTGAATTACTGGGCGCAAGATCAAGTCAAAAGATTGAGGTAGTAGAGGTATGCAGCTTCGAACGTCTCAATTTGCTACCCCTTCGCTAATTTTGGTGTCAACAAGTAGCTTCTACTGGGCCTCACGGTGGGCAATCGCATCGGACTTCCATTGGACCTAGGTCGACATGGATCATACAGTCGCCAGATTCACTATTTCAAAGATGCATCTGGCCTGACCGGAACGGCGATTGGAGAAAGACTCTTAAAGGAGGAAATTTTGACAGCCCGTGGGCATCATGCCAACTTACTCGCCTCTGGCACACAAGCGCGGGCACTCAACATTGTGCGAGACTGGGATCCGCATGCCACCAGTGTAATCATCATCTTCCCGACCGCACTGAGTTTGATAATCTCGATCGTCTGGTCCATTGTGGCCGCTGTGCATTTCAAGGCAGATGTTCAAGCCAGCGTGCAGACTGGTTTCACTATCGGAAGCTATGTGGTAACAGCAGGTGCGTTCAAGTCATCGTAAGCATCGCTCATGTACAAGACAGCTAACCTAAACAGGAGCGCTTCTTATCGCTCTCGTCGCATTTCTCGATACGAAGATGAATGCTTCGTAGTATTTACGTTTGTGATGCAGTGCAAGGTCGCATCTCAGAGATACGGATGGAGGAGACTGACAATGCTCATGAACCTTTCTGTAAGAGAAACACAGCCGACGGGCTGTTGTTGTGGCTCAATTGCTTGACAGCATTCCGCGCGCCTCACACTCGGCTTCGTACGCCGCCAATTGCTCCATCTTCTTTTTAACAATCGAGCTCATCTCCTGATCCAAGTCCTCCTTAAGCTTCTCGTCTCCAGGTACATGAAGTGCGCTCCAATATACCACGTCAACACTCCAGCCCTTCCTGATTCCATAGTGGAACCAAAACCTCTTCGACTGCCATGAGTCTCGCATACGACTAGCCAGAGAGAATGCCTCTCTCCCATGACTTGCATTTTTCTTCTCCTCAGCCTTCCCCATGGCTCGGAGGAATTGTTCTAAGCGTGGTACGTATAACTCTTCGAAGTCCTCCATGGTGAAATTCTCAAGCATAAGGCCAGGACTGACCATGGCGAGCCACCATGGTGGGTCGTAAGCGAATTGAGCGGGCATGGTGTTGACGAATTCAAAATCCAGAACCGCTACGATCTTCAACGATCCACCCTCGTAGCTAGCGAGCATGTTCTTGGGACGAAAGTCATGGCAATACGGTATGAAAGGGCCGTTGTCAGCTTCCGATGGAGGGGAAAATCGCTCGATCAGCTGTTTGAACTTGTGGCGTGCGATGAAGCATTTTTCCGCATCCTGAGGACTGTGTGCAAGGTTCCGCTGGACTTGGAGATGGACCAAATTCTCGTCTGCACGGTAATGAAGGAAGGCTTGGGTGCTGGTGAACGCGGCTTCAGGAAACTGATCTGCCGGATAGTCTGTAACGACAGAAGCTAGGTTGTTCATGTTTGTGCTGAGAGGACGGTCAGTCACCGTCCATGCACCCGATGTATCCTTATTGATAGGTCCAATTGCCGAAAAGTGCAGTCGCGAAATCTGGAGCATGTAGTCGGCTATCTGCTCATATACAAGATCGACTTCTGCTTCTTTGTGATCGTCTTGAAGCTGCTGCAAGAGTTCTGACAGCTCTGTGCCCTCAATATAATCCATGATGATATATGGACTAAGCTAAGAGGGACTTTCCTTAGCCGTTCCCCAGTCACGTATCTTGGGGACAGGTATGGCAGTCTTTTCGGTCAGATACTCTAGAAACCGAACTTCATTCCTGACCTTTTCCTCGAGAAACTTGGCAGCAGTTATTCCTCGCTTCGGGAAACGAATGATGACGACGTCTTCTTCGCCGAATCTTATGACAAGATTGACATTGTATGAACCTTGAAGATATCGGACGAATTCTCCCGGAACATTGGCCCTCAGCTTCTGACCTACAAAAGTGACAATCTCTTCGTTCGCGGCCTTTACTTTAGCAGCCCAAGCCTCGAGCTCAGCATTCCCAGCCTCTTCCGCGATTTTGTCAAATTCGGTCTTCATTGAGATCGACAATTATGTGCGCGGTGTGTGTCTGCGATATCAAGGTACGCAATTTGAAAGGCAGCTATACGTAGAATGTAAGGGTTGAGGGTAATGCGAGGGTTTGAGTGTAGGGGAGGCAGCGGTTTCGTATCGATGGCTGGTGTCAACAAGCGCTAGCCTGATTTCAGTCTAGTGTTGTCGCGTTACCTAGGTAGGATGTCCCGTCACGGAATGGCAGTCGCCAGCCATTGCGAACACCTACCATCCTCACACCTCACGAAGAACATTATGCGCCCGAGACCTATAATTTCTCCATTGAAACCTGAAGCGTTCTTGGGCTTCTACATCTTCATTCATCACAAGCGCTGTCGGCGGGCGTGACGCGTTGCAGCAAGTGTTTGGCATTAATCGCTACATTGAACAGTCAACATATCCTATGCCGTTCTAATACGACCAGAAAAGCGTACAACATTCATTCTCTCCGAAACCCGCGGCCCTACTTCCACGTGCTAGCGACAGTGGCCGCGCTCGAGCACCCCTTCGGCACGGTATACACGCGGTTAGCACCTGACTCGTATGTCACGGTACCACTGCTTTCTACCTTGATGAACTTGTATTCGAAACTGACACCAGCGGGGAGGTTGATCTTTGTCGACCAAAGCGGGTTTGCGGTGGTGTATTGGCTCGCAGATAGCGCAGGCGCAGACGCTGCGTTCCAGCTGCCGAGCTGGGCAATCGAACCAACGATCTTGACAGTCTGGCCGAACGATGTTGTGGTCTTCGAGTTGAACGTCACAGCTACTGTGGATACAGGCGATGCGCATCCAGTAGGTGCCGCCGTCGAGGTTGAAGTCGCCTTCGTTGAAGACGCGGGGGCCTTGCTCGAAGCTGGTGGGGTTGCGCCGCCCGAGCCACTACCAGTGATCTTAATGTCTGCGCAAGTCAGGTACACTTGCGGAGTCTGGAAAGAATTCCACTTGAACGACAGCAGCGTGTGGTTGCTTGAGTAGTTTGGGATCTTGATCTTCGAGCTGACTGTGTATCCGCCTGCGATGCTGGTGTAGCACGAATTGAGTGGTGCGTTGTCGACGCTCCTGCATTTTGAGCCATCATTGAAGCCACCGCCTACTTAGTGTCAGTACCGCGTTACTATCCCGAGATGTTGAGATGTACTTACATGTGAACCAGTCATTCCTCCAGCAAGGCTGACCCTCTTGGCAGTCAGAGTTGTAGCCACACGTCTGTCCAGCGACATCAGTGCACTTCAGCTCACCAGCCTCGAAGCAGTCTTCAGCAGCCTGCTTCTCGGTCTCCGTAGGAAGATACCCAGGCGTCAGAAGTTTGTCAACGAGAGCCTGATTCTGGCAGATGCGGTAGCTGAACATGCCACCGTGGTCACCATTGGCATCGAGGCACCATTGTACATCGACGACATCACCAGATTTATAGGTGATGACAGGCTGCGAACCCCAGCGAGGACCGGGCTGGTTGTAATCGACGGACACGCGGGCGTTGTACCCGCAAGGACCTGAGCGACCCACCGCTGCGGCGTCAAGGTCAGGCCATGCTGTGACAGGCTCGAGGATGGTACATTCCGGGCATGTATCAGCGCCAGACTAGAAGACGTTAGCCACTGCTCGGGATGTATCTCAGATGTTTCCGAATGGACGCCATTACTTACTTGAGCATTCAAACCAGTCCTGCTCATAGGGGAAGAGAGATAGCCATGTGCGTTGGCACTGGCTACGAGAGCGAGAAGAGATGCAATCTTGGAGAACATGTTCGATGAATTCGTCCTCTCGAAAGGTCTTGGAGAGAAAACAAGTGGTAGAGATCGGCTCTGAAGCGATTGACTGACCTACTGAATAGCATTATCAAGTACGTCTTTGCTGGTTATATACATGCTCTTCGTCTACCATCCCATGATCAGCGGATCTTCGATGGCCTCCATGGGCACGACGATCTGTTGTTCTCGGTTGCAGGTAGTCCCCGCATACACATGGTTGTCGGCTTCCATCGAACCTCATTGGGTCACAGTCGGCATATAGTAACCCTGGACCGCTTGACTGACCACATGGACAGGCCCCAAGAAAAACAACGATATCCGCTTAATTGCTCCCACGAGTTTCGCGAGCCGCAAAGCATTAGCACGTCCGGCTCATACCCATGTAGCCCCCAAGTACCGTACCCCAGATTCGTGGAACATTGCTCCGTCAGATGCATCGACCCGCTCCGGGCACCAATTACTATAGTGCGTCCATCTCTTACACAAACTATTACTGAACAATGTAAAGCGCTTCGGTCGCTTGCCGCATCCATCGTAGTCCTCTAAATCGTCAACTTCGCCATTGGCTCGCTGTCGGGATGACCGGAAACATGCTAACCTACCTAGGTAGTTACGATAACTAGTGTAACAGAAAGGTCATGGGGGACTTCAGAACGCTTCCCGGCCCGCACCTTAAATTTAAACAGCAAGTTTGATGGAAGCTGGGATGCGGGGATCGAATTCTAGACGATGAGACTAACGAAGAGCCGAGTTGTATCGGCTACATCAAACTCGGTATCGTGAAGCACCCCGGCATACTCTCTCGACCTCAAATACCACGTGCCTCACATTCTGCGTTATATGCCTCTAACTGCTTCATCTTCATCTCCACAAACGCCTCCATCTCGTCCTTCAGATCATCATCCAGCACCTCATCACCCGATTTATGTAACGCAGCCCAATACACAGCATCAATGCTCCAGCTATCTTGCATCGCGGCATTGAACCAGAATCTGTTGGAAGTCCACGAATCGCGCATGCGAGCGGACAGTGGTACTACAGTTCCACCCATCTCCTTCTCTTTCTTCTCCATAACCTGCAGAAACTGTTCGATGTGGGGCTCAAGTCTGTCTTTTAAGGCACCAAAATGGAAGTCATTGTCGATCCATGTGGTTGGTCGCAAGATAGTAAGCCACCACGGTGGGTCATGGGCGAATTGCGCGGGCAGTGCGTTACAGAATTCGAAGTCCAGGACAGCTTTGACGTTCAGATCGTCGTTTACGAGGATATTAGACGGGCGAAGGTCCCAGCAGTATAACTTGAAAGGGCTCGTTTCGGTGTCGGTAGACAGATATTGGTCGATAGATTGTTTTAGGCGATGGCGAGCGATGAAACATCTTCTAGCATCTTCACGGTTCTCCACGGCGTTTCGTTGGGTGTGAAGATGAGCTAGGTGCTGATCGGCGATCTGCTCAAAGTAGGCCTTTGGAGATGAGATGCTTGTAGTGGAGAAGTATTCGGTTGGGTAGTTCAGAATGTTCCTTGCTAAAATATTCATGTTGTCGGTGACAGGCCGCTCGCTAGCAACCCACTGATCTGAGCTGCTCCTTCTTATAGCACCTGCAGCACTGAAACCAAGCTGATGTATTTGCAGCAGATAGTCACATATCTGGCTGTAGGCATGAAGAACTATTGGGTTGCCCAAGTCTCTCCAAAGATCCATCTCGACACCTTCATCGGTCTTTATACGTCGTTTCAATTCGTCGGTTAATGGTCTTCCTTCGATATACTCCATTATGATGTACGGGCCGAGCTGTGACGGGCTCTCACTAGTAAGACCCCAACTGCATACTTTCGGTAGAGGAATCGTGGTTCCGCGTAGGAAGTCCATGACTTGGACTTCGTTCCGAACTTTCTCGTCCAAGAAATATGTAGCTGTTGTCCCCGGCTGGGGAAAGCGAATCAGATATGTAGGCTTTGTGTTGAGCTTGACGACCAGGCAAATGTTGTAGGACCCTTCCATATAGCCACCAAACTCTCCAACCACATCACTTCCAACCTCTTTGACGACGAAGTCAACGATCTCTTTCTGTGCAGCGTCAAGTCTTTTCTTCCAAGCCTCATACATCTGCTCTGCCTCTTCCTGAGCCAGTGCATCGTAGAGCATCATCTCTGCGGCCGGGGGTAGGTGTGGGTAATGATAGGTAAAAAGATTAAGAGATGGGTAACGGTAGACGAGGTTGTGACTGAAGTGTCAGGAGAGCAACGTATGTATATGCCCAAGACACTGGGTCGGTCCGGTTGTAGCTAACTAAACTATTCGTGATGTAGCGCGCTCTCAGGTTATGTGAAATTGCGGCACAGCACACGACAGCCACGTAATTAGGGAGTATGATATGATACGACGACATGGACTGTAAGCTTTGCCCATTCTGTCAGATGTTCTGTCTTCCACTCCTGGCTAAATAACCACTGGATACTCATCCAGGTTCTTCGTCGTGTTCGTTGCACTGTGATCGCATCGCACACCCTGATAACGTGCACTGAACTGTCTGTTGCGGTCATGATTCCTCTCATTCGACACGGCTCTTTCCCCCTCTCAGTGTCTACTGTCCCGCGACTTCGCGGAACCTTCCGTCATTCTTCGCTGGGCGACGTTTCAGTTTGAGGTCCCTTTGAAATGCTCCATGCCGAAACCATGGGAGCGACAGTTCTGCCGTCCGTGGCTGTTCCAGATGGTCCGAAGCGTAGCAAATTCGCGGGTACGGGTCTCTTCTTACGGCCAACAATATATACCAATGGAGATTCGTGTCCGCTTAGCCCTCAAATTCCGGTCTACCACCCACATCCGTTGCGTTCTCAACACCGTACGCATCTTCAAAGCTCGCCAGCTTGACACCCCACATGTCTCCAGCCTTTCCAGGTCGTCCGTCATCAACGTCAAGCTCCTCTTCACCATCCCAGTTACCGTCGCCAGGCCACCGGAAGGCTAAGACAGCGCCGTCCTTCAGCCCAGCGCCCTTGGGACATTGCTTGACATTCGCTGTGCCTGCTTTCGCTCCGTTGGCGCTCCCACTGGCTTTCGCTTTGCCTTTACCCTTGCCGCCCTCCTCTTCCTCTTCGCCCATGTTGTATTCCCATTCTCCTAATTCGAAACCCTCGTTTGCGTCGTTGATGTTCACTGGCCGGCCGAGCTGAATGTCTGACGCGGATGGAGGCAGTGGTATCGACTCGCCGGTTTCGGGGTTCTTGAAGTCGGTTTCTTGTAGAGCGTCGTAGAGGTATGTCTTGATCGTGTCGAAAGTGTGTAGAGGGTCGACGTGTAGGATGACGGTGGTCTTGTGCGCCTTGAGACGAAGAGTCCAGGTCTGCGGTGAAGGTGTCGCCATCGTGATGTGGCGGTGGGATAGGATAGGGTATAGTCGTTGGACGTGTATTGTGCGCGTTCAAAGGGAATAGAAAGGTATCTGCGAGTGACGCTGTAGTGTTTGGGTGGAAGAGACGCGTTGTTGCTAATCAATGGAGGGGATCGCGGGGAGGAAGGCGCGACCTGAACCCTTGCTAGAAATCTTGGCGAGTCGAGCTCACGAGCTTCCTCGACCTTCACCTCAGCAGATATCTAATCCAGCCCGTATACCACGAGACTCACTTGCTCTCTGGATCTTCTTAAGCGCATTCAGTAAAGTGTGTCTAGTGTATCACCCGCAAACTCAGCGCGCGCTCGGAAGTCTGACGAAATCGGACTCGAGGCATCTCCGCACCACCTCCGCACCCGTCGCAAACCTCACCCAACGATTACATTAGCATCGCAACTACGACTGTGTACCGCGCCCAAGGGCACCACAATTCGACAATGGCGATAACGCCGCCCACATCATCCACGATGCCACCCCCAGAAATGCTCGCGACACCACCCCAACGGCCTACACAACCCCTCCCTTACGCACCCCGCCTAGGCATGCCCTTCGACCGGCGCCTCCTCCTCACCACCTCGCTTTCCTTCCTCTCGGGCTTCACACTCGGCTCCCTAAACGCCGGTCACATGGCCTCCCTGCGCTTCCGCGCCGAAAACGCGCACCGCCTGCCCATCTCAAATCCGGGCTGGTACCTGTACCACAAGTCGAAGAACTACTATAAATGGCGGTTCGGCATCGTCGAAGGTTTAAGAAAAGGCGCATACATCGCAGCCTGGTCATCAGTATTCTTCATCGTGGAAGAGAGTCTAGATGTGTTCCGGGGTACATGGAGCGCGGGACGTACAATGGAGGAGATGGAGGGTGTGGATGAATTGGACATGCGGAGGATAAATAAGGGGATAGCGGGGAGTAGGGATTTCATTTCGAGTGGGCTAGCAGGTATGGTTACGGGTGGATTGTGGAGTGCGTGGCATCAGTTCCCTGTTTCGACAGCTGCGAGAACGATTCGGTTGGGTCTGTTTGTTGGGGCTGGATTTGGGCTGGGTCAGGACGGATTAATATGGGCAAAGAACAAGTGGGGTGGTGATAAGCAGGAGGAGAGTTGGATTTATAAGGGTGCGAGGAATAAGATGGTTGAGGAGGATATTAAGAGTAGTTTGGAGAAGGAGTGAGACTTCTGGCTTAGGGGCGAATACGATGATGTTAGGGGATCATAAACACAGAGGCTGCGACGAGGGTCGATACCAGTGCGCAGAAAAAGCGCGAAGCTCACATGGGCGGAAGCCATCGTGATGGGTAAGTCGCGGCACGACGAAGCGAGATGCTTCTCAAAAGATCCAAGTGCCCAGCGCCGAGGTGTTGCCAGTCAATCAATGGCCGGAGAAGTTGGCACAGGGGATAGTAAATACTCTGTAAAGTAGCAACAATGAACTCATCCCTCAAATTCATCTCTCAACAGCCATTTTGATCTTGATTTGGATATTATTTGCACAGAGTACGTTCTATCGTTACAGTCATGCGCATCGTCTACTTTCTTTCCGTCCACCCCCCTACTCCTTGTCAAAGCGCACAGCTGGCTGTTCCCGAATCCAGCTCAGATCCACCTTGTGACCCAGCAGCTCTCTGATATTCGAAACGCCATACTTCATCATCGTTGGTCTCTCCAGACTGAGTCCGAATCCGTAGACGCGCATATCCTTGGGCAGACCCATAGGCTCCAACATCTCTGGCCTGAACATGCCACTGTTGCCAATCTCGATCCACTTGTCGAGACCGACGTGGAAGCCGAAGATCTCCATACTGGGCTCGGTGTAAGGGTTGAAAGCGGGTTTGAAGCGGAGATTTGTCAGGCCCATGTTGGCGAAGAAGTCTTCGAGGAAGCGCATGAGACCGCCTAGTGTGAGGCCAAAGTCTGCGATGACACCTTCGATCTGGTGGAACTCGGCGAGATGGGTTGCGTCGACGGTTTCGTTACGGAAGACGCGGTCGATGGAGAAGTAGCGGGCGGGGCGTGGGTCTTCGGCGAGACGGTGGAGAGCCCATGTTGAGACTGCGGTTGTGTGCGTGCGGAGGACAAGGCGGAGGGATTCATCCTCTTCCCATGGGTATCGGTCTGTACAATATTAGTATAGGTCCACATTGAACAGGGGATCTGGAAACCACGAACATCCTATCGAGCCAAAAGCGCCTTCTTGGTGGACCTTCTTGACGTCTTGCCAGTACTTCTCAAAGTCTCGGGGCTTCTTTTCCTTCTTCTCGCTCTCGGGTGTGGAGAAGAGACGTTTTGATCCAGCCTCCATGCGGTCCATCGTCGTTTCGTTCGCAGGGTCTAACCGCGGCTTGTCGGCTTTTGGTGGATATGAAACGAAGAAGGTGTCCTGCATGTCGCGGGCGGGATGTTGCTGTGGTACGAAGAGCGCGTCGAAGTTCCAGAAACCGGTGTCGACGTAGCTAGAGAGTGTGAGTCGCATGCGATCATTATATCTGGGTCAATACGTACTGTCCTGTAGGCATCTCGACGAAACCTTGTGAGAAGAAGATATTCCTGAACTCTTGCCTGACCTTGTTCAGGGGATGTAATGCGCCAGAATCTTGGTTTGCGCCGAGCGCAGCGAAGTTGTAGGGCTTGAAGTTGGCGGTCTTCCAGGCATCGTTCGTGAGTAGCTCCACAGTCAAGTCTGTGTGTTCTACTGGTATTTCCTTCGCGTACTTGGGCCCCTTTGTGATGGTGTATGTGATGACTTTCGTAACGGTGACGAGCTTCTTCTTCTTCAGCTGAGCGAGGAGCTTGGCGTCGTCGAGGGATTGGGTGTCTTTAATGCCTTGAAGGAGTTCGCGGTTGAGATCTTTCGGCTCTTCGGTCTGGAGAAGGATGATGTCGCTCCCGTCCTTCTTTATCCACTTGTTCTTGAATCCATTGCCCTGTCCTACACTCGCAACTTCCTTTCCGAAGACGTTCTATGCGTTGTATCAGTCGCTCATTCTAAATGTGGTCCATGATGGCATGCATACAGGTAGGTCTGCGATTGGGACTCTTTCCTTCTCCTTGACATACTGCCAGACCCTGAATTCGTGACTGCCATCCGCTACTATGCCTTCCGACTCTGGTGTGAGAATGACCTTTTCCGAGTCCAGTGATTTGTATTGGACCATGGAGCGACTCGCTAGCCTGTCCAGCGCAGCCTTGATTTCGGCCTGCGATATCGCGGGGAAGTCTTCATTGCTCTGGAGAGGCTCCTTGGTGTCTAAGAGATCGAGAATTTCTTGTGTGAGATTTTGGCCTTTAGTCTCGAGCGGTACGGGCACAGGGCCCCTTGTTCCAGGCATTTTTGCGGTTGTGATAGAAAGTATTTGCTACAATACTCCAGTCACGAACGTGGGGTTGCGGCGATGAGTCGAAAGTGGAAGGGTCGTCGGAGATTTGAAGGCCCGTTCGGAGTTCAGTGCCACTTGATTGGCTTGTCGGCGGCGCAGCCTCGCAGCATTTCCAGGCACTCACCTGCCTGCAGACCCGAGCAATGCCATTAACTATGCTTTGCGCGACCAAATATCTTCTTCTTTTACAAGTACGTCATCCAGGAAGTATACGTCGAATGACGTCCATGGGCTGTGAGCCATCTATGAAATTTCTCCTGAAGTTGGAGAATCTGCGTTTCGCGATGATCAGACCCAACTCACTGATAGACCAGACATAGGTCCAAGTTCGCTTCCAGATGCGCAAATGAAATGGAGCGAAATCAATGAGACGACACAGGCAGGCTAACGGTTTCACAGAGATTCCCAACATTGAGGTACACTAATAAAATCGACGATGACATGTTTGTCTTTTGCGGCTCGCGCCTTCAATATGCCCACGAGACAGAGCAACTTGCTTCTTCGACTGTCCTTCAAGACAGCGCGCATCATCGATGCGGGTGTTAAATCGACCTGCTTGGGCCTCTTTTCATTCTGCAACTACGCACTACATCTACATCAATCGCGTTGCACTTGTGTCGCCTGGACATAAGCCTACAAGATTTCTTGGTCATGCTTATCCGCTATCGTGCATACAATAGTCCTATACGCCTTTTCGCAAGCCAAGAGGCGCTGCGTTCTGCTAGCACAACGCTGCAACTTGCTACAGTCCCCACTAGTTCTCATGATCAAAGCTCGATCCTGCAGAAAAGGCGCACGCGTAAAGGGCCACGCAAGTCCCAAGTTGCACTTGCACCTCAAACACGCAAGCAAGATCTGCGGTCGTTCTGCCAACTAGCGTGTTGTGCCCACACACCTGGAAGCTGCCACTCTTACCAGTCGACTACCGCGCCTGATACGCGATCAACATGCGATCGCTCTCGACGGTCGAACAAAACACCAAGAGCTAGATGTCGTAGAGCATTGGCCTCCGCTCGGTTCCAGAATCGCTTTGGGGAAGTGTTGGAAAAGCGGGCTAGTTGATCCCGAGACCAAGTGCAGACGGTAGCGTTGTGGTTGGTATCGCGGACGTGCGCACATGTTATCGAATGTTATCGAAACTGCATCGCGATGTCTGTACTATAGGCGGTATTATTCGCCGCGGTTACCGGGAATCATCGACGAGCTGTCATCTCAAGCTATACTCCCCAGGTTTTGGAGTTGGTGTCTCGAAAATACAGTTCGGCATGGTGCTTACGCGCCCGCGCTGTTGCTCCTGGAAACGACGACCGGTCGGCGTGCTGATGATGTGCGCATGGAGAGGGTTACATCTCAGACGGGATCCACGCGGTTCAACGTCATCGGGTGGGATACCATGTGCTCCGGCGGAGTTGTGCCCTTGTTCTGCAGCAGCAGAGAGTATTGGAACTGTGGGGCCTGTCAGAGGGGCCGAGATGGCTCAACACCACTGACTGCAGGCGATGGACAGGTGACATGCAAATTGACAGCTTCAGCATATGAGGAGGCAATGCAACAATATTATATCAGCAGCTAACTGTCCAGGCGTCCCTGCCACTGCGCTCATCGCCTCGCTGAGCTGAGCCCACTTCGCGGTGGCTCGATGGGGAGGTATTTTTAGCCTAGACTGTTCCGCCCGCGCCGTTCGAAGAGGACGCGTATGCTGGTGTCGGATGCAAGCCTAGGGGCGCTGGCCAAGCCAATCACAGACAACGCCACCTTGTCGCTGCGAACGCCCAGGGGTCAGGGAACGGCGAAATTGAGCATGTCGCGATCGCATCATTCGCTCAGCTGCGTGTGTCGCGGCAGGGGAAGTGCAGAGTCGCATTATTGAGGACCCATCGCAGGACCCAGCCAAGTACGTCAAGAGTTGCAAGACGTCAAGAAAAAATAGAAGCTCCGCTCGACGTTGTTGAGGCGGGAGGGCAGGCCGTTGCATAGTGCGCTTTGCCATGGCTCATGCAGGGCCCGATAGAGTGAATTGATAGCTGGGCGCCATTTGATTTGGTGGCGGGCTGCGCTCGACGATAACGCAGAGGCTTCACGCCGTCGCTGCTGGGAGCGCTGCGAAGACGCGGAGGGGGCGGATCGGCTGTAATGGGCAGTATCTGGAGAGTTCTGCACGTCTTGGAGTGGCACCGGTGCGTGGGCTAGCCTATACAGTCCCGCCGTGGTGCTCCAGAAGTCGGTGGTTGACCCTTGTAAGTTAGCGCTACAGTAGACGGCAGGTGCGAGGCAGCGCTAGGCTGTCTGGGGCGAGCAACGAGGGAAAAAGGGTCGGTCGCTCCTGCTCAGCCCGCGCTCTCTCCCCAACGCCCAAGCCATCGCCAGAATCCTGCCTCCGTCTCCAGGACAGTCACTCGTTTCACTCTCCGCTGTCGTCCCAAGTGTCGTGCCTGCTTTGCTCTCGACCTCACTCGCGCGGCCGAGTTGACACCACGCACCTGCATCCCGACTTGCCGAGCGACCTCCTTTGCGCAGCCTCGCCGCAGATGCGATAGGCAACCCACACGCTGCTCAGCACATCCGCACACACAATCTCGACAATGGCCTCGCGATTCAATCCCGGCAAGCTGTTCATCCGAACGCGCTTCAACTACGAAAAGGTGCCCGGCCAGGACAGCCAGGCCTCGTCACCGCTGCCGCTCTTCAGCAGCAAGTCATGGGGCAACAAGTACCGCCAGCCCGCCTGGGCCAACCGCCTGCAGCGCCCACGACTCTCGTTCGCGCGTCTCATCACTCTCGCCGTGACGATAGTGCTGCTGGCCTCGATGCTCGGCACGGGTATCTACAGGAGACACAGGTGGAACGCACAGCAACGGACAGGCGATGAGCGGAAACAGTACCACTGGGAACACTACCCTCGGTAAGCATCCAGTCACGACTCAACCTTTCGCACGCTAACTGGTCAGGTTAAATGGCTTCTTCAACGGCGTTCGCACGCTTGTTCCCTACGGCGACTGGGTGTCAGAGCAGGACTTTGTCAAGTACTCGCAAAGCCCCAACCCGGAAGACAACATCAAGCCCAAGTGGCCGCACATGTCCAAGGAGGACAAGGAGCCGCCGCTGGAGTTACAGCCTTTCGATCCATACAAGTTTGACTCGCCCGAGTACCTGAAGGAGCACGACGAGGTCAAGACGTGCTACCTCGACGAGGAAGAGAAGATCGATCTCCCCGACATTTATGCTTACCCCGGCATCCCCCAGAACATGACTGCGCCCTTCTTTGGTTCATACGAGGAGATTGGCTTTGACGACAAGAAGTGTTTCGAGCGCTTCGGTCGTCTCGGCCCCTATGGCTACTCCTACTCCCGCGATGAGGGCGGCCTCGACATGGACGGCAAGTCTGAAAAGGGCGGTGCCGACAAGCTCTGGAGCTACGAGAAGAAGGTCGACTACCGTAAGGTCAACTGGGCGTCCGCCATGAAGCGATGCCGCGAGAAGAACGCCCACCGCTTCAAGAAGAACACCACCGAAGAGACTGCACCCGCCAAGAAGAAGGTGCCACGCCACGCCTACGTTCTCCGTACCTGGACCGGCTACAAGTACAGTGACTACCAGATCCTCACTCTGCGCGCCATGATCAACGAGCTCGCGCTGAAGTCCGGAGGCGAGTACGATGTGCACTTCCTCCTCCATGTCAAGGACGATAGCCTCCCTATCTGGTCCTCGGAAGAGATCTACCAAAAGGTCATCGAAGACAACCTCCCCAAAGAGTTCTGGGGCATGGCGACCCTCTGGTCCGAGCAGCAGATGCGCATGTACTACCCAGAGCCGTTCCCCAACAACGTCTACAACCACGCCAAGGCCCCAGTCCACTCTGTCTACCGCAGCGCCCACTTCGCAATGCAATGGTTCGCGCAAGCTCGCCCAGAGTACGACTTCTACTGGAACTGGGAGATGGATCTCCGTCTCAGCGGCCACTACTACGAGTTCCACAACAAGATTGGCGAGTGGGCCAAGAAGCAGCCTCGCAAAGGTCTGTGGGAGCGATCGTCTCGCTACTACATTCCTGAGCTCCACGGATCCTGGAAAAACTTCACCGAGATGGTTGAGGAGGAGCTCTACAACAGCGACGAGAAGCCTGTCTGGGGCCCACCCAAATTCGAAAACACTGGCATGCTTCCCAGCCCTCCCGAGACCGAGCCCCCGCACTCGTACTCGCAAGACAACTATGAGTGGGGTGTCGGCGAGGACGCCGACATCATCACATTCAACCCAATCTTCGATCCGGCCAAGACCAACTGGGTTTTCCGCGACGACGTTACAGGCTACGATCTCGAGCTCCCGGAACCCCCGCGGAGATGCGCTATCATTACTGTTTCGCGTCTGTCGAAACGCCTATTGGATCTTATGCATCGCGAAACATACCTCATGAAGCACCACATGTTCCCTGAAATGTGGCCTCCAACAGTCGCTTTCCACCACGGTCTGAAGGCCGTCTATGCTGCACACCCCGTGTACTTTGATCACAACTGGCCACTCGAAGCCCTCGATGGCACCTTCAACAAGCCCCCTAAGCCGACCGACAGCGTTTTCGGCTGGGGTGAACACAACCAGCTCGGTAACAGCTTTTACTACAATGCTGGCTTCTCATCCGAGTGGTGGCGAAGGTGGCTCGGCTCTCGCGAGAACGACAAGGGTGGCCCACAAGAAGAGGAAGCCGGCACCGGCCGGTTATGCATGCGCAATACGCTCTTCCACCCCGTCAAATACGAAAAAGGATCTGAGTGACTTTCCACGCTTCGCAAATATACCCCTTTAATTGCTGGCTTTCTGGGTTTCCTTGTTTGTCGCTCTGTTTGCCGGCGCCGCAGACGTGCTTGTTGATAGATTCTCCTTCCCTCATTTTCTGACTTTCGCATATTCAGCGCTCACTCTCCCATTGTGGCGTTTCAACATCGGGCGGCGTATGACGGCGTTTTTACTTATGAATGAACATACAGTTCTTAGCTTGTCTTTCCATTTCGTCTCTCCGGCATTGCGTTCACGAGCACCGGATTGTCTTATTTTTCTCAATGTATACTTACTTCACACGAACAAAAGCGGTGGAAAGTGTAATTAGCCGTACTCAACGGCGTCCGTTCTTTCAGTGGGCTTGTTTGGATCTGAGCGATGGAACCCTATCAAATTGTTGGCAGGCTGGTCTGAGGTCGAAATTGTCTCTTCCTTGCCCAGCTTCACCAGGACGTTTGGAGGTGCCGCATGTGGATATGTGTAGATGACGGGAAACTTGTGCTTGGGTACTTATTCCTATGGTGTAAACCAACCTAAAGCTGGTCACTTGTTGTGGTTGTAGAACTATGAAATGCAATACTGATAATCACACACTATGGTCCTCATCTCGTGAACTGCACTCATGGGTAGTTGCTCACCTTTTACCCCGCAAATGTCTTGACACCTGAACGTATTGATCGACCGTGATGACGACGAAGTTGACTATAAGCTTCATGCCCTTATGCAGCTCTTAAGACCGTACATTAGCGTTACCATAACAAAATAATGGAGTCTCTTTCTCCTCTGGACCCGAGTCTCTTGGCGGACCGAAGCGCACTTTCGTCAGCTAATAGCGCGTCGGATCGTGCCTGCACATCATTGAGTGGTAGAGCGGGGATGATCGACTGGGCAAATAGCGCTCGACAGCACAATCAAGTTTTTGTACGAGGATCCTGTGCTATGCTACGGCCAGCGCCGGAAAGCTGTGTTTCAATCAATGTCTCGTACGCCATATCTAGCGAGAAGTGTGGTTACGATGCGGCATCGCACGTGCGGTGCCGGCCTAGAGGACGCGTACTCTAGCCTGCCAGACTTCGTTTTCACGTGGCTGGCCCGCACTTGCACTCCCTTAGCCTCAGATAGCAACGACACCATACGACACAGGATGCAGCTTGAGTAGCCGCCTTTAGTAACAACGAGACTGCGAACGCGCAATCGGCTTGAACGAGCTCCACATTCACAGCAGCCGTGAATGACACGCTAGCCGATTAGGCTCAGAAAATCCATGCGGGCTAGAACAATGAGGCCGGCAGCGTGGGCGAGTGAGAGGTCTTGGCGCGTGCTTGATCGTCCTTGGCTCTGCGCGTCGGCCCATCATCGAATTCGGCTCCTGCGCTCGCCATGTAGAAACACGATAACGGGTTGTTGCGACCCTCTCTCCATCGTCTCGTCGGTAAACCTCGTTTGGCCCTTCTGCGATTGCGCTGTTATGCTTCACTTTGGCTACATGCATCTTTTCCCACTATAGCGTCATCGACATTGGATCGACAATACCCCGACCCGCGATAACGAGACGGTAGAACAATGCGCTTCATACCGACAAGGCCCCAGTCACGATGAGACTCCCTTTAGAACTTTTGGTTCTGCTCACGCACTTCTTGCATCTCGGCACCTCTCTCCCTCTCGAACGCCGCAGCACACCTTTCCGCTCATTCCGCGGCCTCACGCCCCTGGTCAACTCCTTTTCCAATGGGCATACCTACGCGCACGCGCCGACCAAATATTTCTACGAATCCACATTCAACAGCCACTACGATGGACGTTTCGCATCCTCCGAGGTGCCCTTCCAAGAACGTATATGGCATCTCAGGCTCATGTTGAAGGCGTACACGGATACGATGGAGAGGATTGGAGTACAAACATGGATTATGCATGGATGCCTGCTAGGATGGTGGTGGGGAAGAAGCTTGATGCCGTGGGATAAAGACTTGGATTTCCTCGTAGAAGAGGACGGCGCACGAGAATTGGGTACATGGTGGAACATGACAATTCATCAGTTCAACGCTCGAGAACTCGGGCTTGAACTTGCAATAGACAACGAGGAGGGTCAGGTCAAGCAGAAAGGAATCCTGCACGGCTTGGAGCATCAGGACGAAGATGCAGAGACGCGCTCGAAGCGTCTGGCATGGGAAGAAGACATTAGGAAAGAGGGCAAGAAATACCTCATAGAGGTAAACCCAAACTACACCAACAAATCTACATCAGACATCTACAACCACATCGACATACGCTGGATCGATGTAAACAACGGGCTGTATATTGACATCACAACACTCCACGTCGCACCCGCCTCCGAACAGAATTCCATCGCCAACTCTCCCTACTCCAGCACCCACCCCTCAGCCCACGAATCCGATCCTGACGCCTTCGACGACGAAACATTACTATACGTCAAAGACACCCACGCCTACCTCAACACCCAAATCTTTCCCCTCCGACAATCAACCCTCGAGGGCGTAAACGTAAAAGTCCCATATGCGTATGAGGAACTGCTGCTAGAGGAATATGGATCAGATGCTTTGACAGAGGATTGGTACAACGGATATCAGTTCAACAAAAAGACAGGGCAGTGGAAGAAGAAAGGGCCGACGGAAGACCAGAAAGCCTATTTCAGAAGGAAAAGCGGAAAGGATCTGGGGAGATTGAGCAGTACGGGGAGAATTGGGCATGGGTGGAAGGGGCATGGTGCGCTTGAGGGAGCGCTGAAGGAGGAGGGGGTACAATTGGATGTTGAGAGGGGGAGGTGGGTCGAGTAGGATAACAAATCCATGTACACAGATGATTAAGTACAATGTAAGACCCTCCATCTAATCAACCCTCATCGTCTAGAGTCCTTGTCTACAGCCTTGCCTTTACGCGCGGTTCCTCTTCAAAACCCACTTCCCCAAAACGTATCTCCTCGTCTTCTTCCATCTTGACTCTACGCTCCAGCTCATCAACCACCCCATCGATCCGCTTGAACGCCCAACTATGTTCAAATCGCGGATACAACATGGGTCTTTGGTCAAACCTGTTATCAGGACTGTAGCCCGCTGCGTGGACTGCCGGCGTCACAGCCGCCATCTTATGCCTGTTGTTACCATAGAAAGTCCAGAAGCGTTTCACCAAATCGCCGACTTCCCTTGCACTCTTCCTGTCCTGCCAATCACACAGCAGACGCTGGAACATGTCGAATGGCCCCAGTCGCTCTTCACTGCGCAGCTTGGCAAAGACGAAAAGCTCTTGGTGCGTCATACCGTTTTCCTTGTCGTCGCATGAACCGAAACTAGCAGGTTCGAGCTCAGCGCGGGGAATAGCGTCGAGGAACTCGTCTAGGATGGGTAGGGTGAAAGCGGTACGTGCCCAGCGGATGAAAGATCGGAGTTGGATTTTGGAGATACTTCCGATGGGGCTGAGGTCTGCGGAACTGCAATCGTGCTTTGTCAAGTTGCCCCTGAGGGACTCCTCTACGTTGACGGAGCTCAGAACAAGGAGACCGCCTCCGCCGGGGTGGTTGCGGATGACGGGTAGTGTACGGGCGAGGTAGTACGCTGTGGTTGAGCGGATACGTGCTTGCAGGTTTTGGAGTGCTAGGTTCTCCGCTGAAGAGCCTCGGAAATCGGGGGTGAAGCCTGTGTACTGAGGGAGTAGATCTCGCTCGGCTCGGTATACGGTATCGATGGACATGCTGATGTGGTGGGCGCCCATGCCGTCCGCAAGACGCTGAGCTCGTGAACGTGTTTCTTCGGAGGAGCATTCTGACATGCCCATGTACACTGTGTGCAGGATGCGGTTGCAAAGCTCTTGAGGGGTCTTGGGCAGCCAGTCATCGGCTCCCGTGATACGCTGGATGTCTGACGCGACATCGTTCCCGTCTTGAAGCGCGTCAAAGACCAGATAGCACATACTCAACACCATCACTGATGTCGAGCACGAGTCAATACCGCCGCTCAGTGGCGCTAGAAAGCCGACGCATTCGCTGCGGCGGAGGTAATGCTACAAAGATTAAGATGCGAAGTCAGCGTATGTCTCACATCTAGGTCTTACGGCCACAACGTACCCATAGATAACAGGGTGGTCCCATGCCGATCTCTTCTTCCAACGTGTGAAAGCTTGGGGCCCGAGCAATAGGATGGTGATGATCTGGGCGGAGGGTGGCAAGCTGAGGACGATATAGACTGCATGCCACATCTACACGGGGCGTAGTGAGGTCATCCAGGGGCTCCGAAACTGCGTGTTTAGCTCGATACAATTGAACTTCTTCTAGATCGACGACAGCGGTTACCACCTCGACATCGTGGACCGAGAACCTTGGGCCTTGAGAAACTATTTCTCCGTTCACCAAGATCATCGGACCACCGTCGTAGTAGCTTTGATCGCCATCGCAGCCATGCTGATTCGAGTAGAGGATGACTCCACCAATGTCTTTGCTGATATTCTGCAGTGAAGATACCAGGGAGTCGAAGTTCCCGACACTGAAGTGATTGGCTGCAGAAACGGTCAAGACATCAGCGCTTGTCGAGCTCAAGGCTGTTGGAAGCAAGTCTTCGAGCCCAATCAACTCGTCGGATGTAATAGCGCCAACACACGCGCCTGAGGTGGAGAGTAAAGCGCTGCCGAAAGGAACCATGCTGGTGCCCTGCATGTCCGCAATGAAGTCTGGTAGGGGAAACACTTCGAGTGGAATAGCAGGATCCCACGCGGTGAACCACCTCGACTCATTATAGTTGCCGTCAGTCCTCAGAGTGGTTTTCGGACGTATCGAGACAATTCTACCGTTGTATGCCATCACTCTGCTGACAGGTTGTAAGTAGATTATCAGAGCAATGGACTAGTGTACTTACCAGATGTATCGGATATTGTGATGCTTAATTGGCATACCAACGTCCACAATCATGTTGTCACAACACTCATCCGTGAGGATGCCAGTGAGTGCTTCCCAGCAATTGGCGTATAGTTCGTCCTCGTAGAAGTGATCATGACAGCCGTACCCACAAATCTAGTTTCGTTAGCGGGAACGATGGTAGAGCAAATGTGCTCAAAGCCTAGCACGTAAGTAGCCTTAAGAAATACAAGTTTCCGCTGGATAGCAAAATTTGAAGATGTGGATGACCGTGTAAGTGCCTCAGGCGTGGAAAAGCGCCCTCAGAATGAAATGAACAAAACGATAACTTACTTCCAGTTCTGGTCCAGCGCGCAATGTAGCACCTTTGGCTCTCGCTTCGCGGATACTCTGCTTGATACGGGTAGAATTGCCCTCCCAATCCAGAGCCCACTGAGCAAGCGAGCATGATGCAACGACGATCTGGCGACTCATAATGTGATTGCTTGAGGCGAGTCTCGCAATCGGGAACTTCAATGGAGTCTGTCGGTGTGATCTAGAATTAGTTGAGAAGTCTCGATGAGAGAGGAAGAAAGGCGAGACTTTGAAGTATACGCTGAACTCAAATAGACGGGAGAAGGAACAAGGTGAATGTAGAATTGTGGGTTTCGTTCCGGTGTCGCAATCGAGTCGTGACAATCGCGCAAGCGGCCAACAGAACCACGCCGACCATTATCATCTTGGTGAATAGCCATTGTTTATGAATGATGTTGAGGACCGAAGGGATGGTCCAGTTCGCATTAGTGAAGTGTGATGAACTACGATGCCGATGCGAAGGGATTACCTTCCTGTCTCGTGCCTGCAGCGGTCGCCAAACCCGAAGGGAACCAGCGGATACAACCCCATTTGACGGCAACCGAAGAATGGGGCGACGAGGTTTTATTGGATTGTTGGTGGTCTGCAAGATTACGGGGTGCTCGCGTAGGTTAAGTCGTATTGTCCAAGCTAGGAAGGACTCGAGGTGTTAGAGACCATGCTTGTCTGAGTAATCCCTTCTCAACCCCCTTTTACAAAACGAGACTGACTGCATGAGAACATTTGGCAGGGACCATCATATCTTGATGAAATCTGATCTGTAGGATTTGATCGCCGACATCCTTCCCATGAAGTTCGAGAGGTTGCCCTGTCTTATGCACAAGGTACGAATCCAGTCATGTTGGTCAGGCCGGCATGATGTGTCAGACGAGAGCCAGACTTCGACAAAACTGAAGGATCTGAATGGACTTCTGCTTTTTGCCGACGCGTCAATGGAAATGTTGAGTAATTGGGGATATGCATATCCATTGCCGTTGCTTTAGTGAGCGGTCGTTGGCCCAGGAGGATTTGCCCGGACCCGTTGAGTCGATCCGTTGCATCATCTTGGTGGCTGAGTTCATCTTCGCCGTTACAACTCGTATCATACCCAGGTAATGAAGGAAAGTGTGTCCTTCACTTAATTTGACAAGGTTTGAACAAAGACGCATGACGTAATGAAGGACGGGCGGTTGGTCGTTTTCACAGCCAGGTCATCGTCGGGACCTGCGGGCGGACTAGAGTGAAAGGTCACTTGGCGTCGTAAGTACGGAATTTGTCCGCTGGTGCTCAGGACGAACTGCGCGATGTGGAAAGATGAAGCTGGGAGGTCTGGGCATGGTGTTTAGTGGAGTTAAGAGCTCGAAATGCGCTAGCTCGGAGCCGGGTCGGAGAACTTAGCATGTCCGGTCACCGTCTTCATGACACGAGCATCAACAACACTCGCGTCGGCTGCCTTACATCTAGCACATTGTAAACATGCGATACTATTGGCTCGATACACCGGCTCAGTCGTACTACGCAACGGGCCTTTGCCGTGTTGAAGATTCCCAATGTCGAAAATCTTGAGATGGTTTTAAAGCGTAAAGTCCGATGACTACACCCGGAATCTCTATGATGGCCGCATATGCGTGGCTTGGTTCAAGACGCGGCCCGACTAGGATCACTGATGGATATGATAGATCAGAGCAGCTGCGAGGTATATAAGGTAGGTGATCATCAACTTTTGTATCTACCAACATACTATCACTGTCTCATCACTTCATCAAATCCAATCACGACATCATTCACATCCTCACCAAACACCAAACCCCCAAGATGTCCAAGTCTAAGATCGCCGTCTTCGGTGCCACAGGCAACCAAGGCAACTCTGTCGCCCGCACCGTCCTCACCGACCCCTCCCTATCAGCCTTGTACGACGTCCGCGCCCTCTCGCGCTCTACCACATCCCCCAAGATGCAAGAGCTACGGTCTCTCGGTGCAGAGCTATCCGTAGCCGACATGGACGACCCCACGACGCTCCCATCCGCTCTAGCAGGCTGCACGCACGTCTTCCTCATAACAACAACGCAATACACCGGCAAAACGCGCGAGGTCGAAACACGCCAAGCACGCGCCGTATGCAGCGAAGCCATCAAGCAAGGTGTCAAATACATCATCTTCAGCTCCATGTCGCACCCGTTTAAGATCAGCAACGGGAAGTTGAAGAACGTAGAGCATTTTGACGATAAAGCTGAGATCGAAGAGTACATTCGCGGTTTGCCTGTGCAAAGCGCGTTCTTCGCTCCAGCGTCTTTCATGCAGAATTTCGAGGGCATGATGAAGCCCCGTCCTTCTCCTGCGAATGATGGTACGTTCGTGCTGGGAGATATCTTGCCGGGCGATACTCCTGTACCGTACATCGACATCACCGAGACGGGAAAATGGGTTGGGGCTATCCTTGCTGAACCAGACAAGTACGCAGGCAAATTCTTTGCTGCAGCAGAGGCGTTGTATACGCCAGATAAGGTCGCCGAGATCATGAGCAAGGTGACGGGGAAGACGGTCAAGCATGTGCAGCTTCCAGATGAGGTAGTCAAGGGATTTTTCCCGGAGGGGTTCCGGGAGCAGTTGTATGAGATGTTCGTGTTGAATAGGGAGTATGGGTATTATGGCAAGGGGCAGAAGGAGGCAGTTCAGTGGGCAAAGGAGCAGGTCAAGGGGGAGTTGACGGGGGTGGAGGCGTTTTTGAGAAAGAACGGCTTGAAGTTGGAGTGATGATACGTGATACATGGCGCGGCAGGATGTACTGTAAGGGCGGTATTGGGGGCTGAGAACAATGGATTCATGCTTGAGTAAATCGTTTGCGCCCAGTATAGCATGTCTTGTAGTGTTTCACGCTTTTGTACTTCTACCTGTATAGTGATTTTACATACGGTACAATACAATGACCCAGAAGTCTACATTACACCCCAAAGTTGCAACTGTATATTTTTTTTACGCGTATATAGACTGCAGCGCACCTCAGTATCCATTGTAACCACCCTGCATGTTGGGATCGGCAGGGTAACCCCACATTGCCATTGAGTCCGGGATGAACAGTGCTGACAGATCTGCGTCCGAGCCTGTGCCTAGATCGAATTGGGTGAAATCGAAGTTGATATCGAATGGTTGTTGTGCACCAAGACCCATCATATCTGGAGTAGGCTGCGCGTTTATGTTAGGATACCAGTTTGGCATGGCTTGCTGAGAATGCTGCGCGTGGGCCTGTAAAGCGGCCTGAGCTTGTTGTTGAGAACGAGATTGCGCCTGTGCCTGCGCTTGCGTCTGCTGCTGCTGCTGTTGCTGAGAAGCGACGTTGTTGCTGCTACCCATTGCGACTTCCGAGAGAAGGTGAAGCGGGGTTTGGTTTGCAGGTGATTGGCGCGTGGAGGGTCGGGAAGTTTGACTGTTGTTTCGGGTGGAGTCGTATTCGGGATCCGTTTGTTGCTCGCCAGCAGCACCCTCTTTGATGTGAGCGAACCGCTCTTGAAGGCGCTTTGCAACGAAGTAGAACTTTCCATGGGGCGATTGAGCATCGCGGGAGACAATGGCATTGAACATGGAGACTAGTTGTTCGGTATAGGCCTCGATCTTGAGATCTTCCTGGCAGATGATACTACCCACTTCGCCGGAGCTAGTGACGGATACCCACATCTTCATTAGGCAAACGATGGCGTAAATGGCTCGTACACCTGGATTGTATTAGCGCGTATATTACGTTGAGATCAGGGCATATTACAGAAAATGACAGGCAGAGTCAGCAGGATGTCAAGTTCGATACTTAGGATCGTGTCTAGAATACCGTGCGTAGCAGTGAGACAATCACCCAGAGCACCTATGTGTGCTGGGCCAGCAGGTACATCTTTTTTGACTCCAGATGGTAGAGAGGGCGACAAAGTATCCGAAACAAAAGGGGGTTGTAGATCGGCAGAGCCTTGATTTTGGTGCAGTGCAATTTCATGCAGGTAGAGGTTTGTGACGTGTTCTGCCAAGCGAAGGGTTGCTACAACTGTTAGTAGATGTAATGAATCATGACCGCTACAACGTACGATCGATTTCACCCAAAGAGGAATTCTCCTCCCTGAGTGAGCTGAGCTCATTCTCAAAAATCTTCAGGGCGTAGATGACTTTTGGATCGGAAATGGTGACCTCGACTGAGGGGTCATCCATGCAGAACTCCACTGAGATCTTTTCTCCAATGTGCGCCATCTTGACCTGCTGGCAAAGCAGTCTGTCTGAAGGCAATGCCTCTGGCGAGGTCTCCAGTATGCGAACACTCTCCGCCATGTAATTAGTCCAGCGGAGCAGAATTGGTCGTCGCAGAACCATTGTGATACTCATGCAGAGATAGTAACACACAAGGAAAGTCCGACGGGCTTCGACACTGCTAGAGTTGGGATGGTACCTCTTGAACGGACCAACCGAAAGTCTCATGACATTTGGAGTTGCCTTCCTTCCGAGACCTAGGTCAAGAGCCATTACGGCAGCGCAATTGACCATCATGTAGAAGTTGTGCTGTTCAAAATGGAGAGGCGGCCGATACCAAAGCACAGATATGTGTAATGCCTGAACGATTTCGAGCGATTTTTCTCCGTTGCGCCAGATGATGTCAGCAAGCTGATCTTTGAGGAGCTTGGTCAACTCGCGTTGCGCCTCTTGCGAGACCAGTTGTTCTGCACTCCCATGCGAAGATCCAGCCAGGACAGCGAGGAACAGAAGTGGCTTTTTCTCTCGGACTTCGCGCGCTGTCGTACCAGGAGGGAAAGGTACGGCAGGGAAATGTGGGCAAATCTCGTTCACGTAGCGAAGGAAAACCCGCTCCGCAATATCCGGCGTCATTAGGTTGTCGATCAAAGCACTGATGTGTGAGTGGTCGGCGTGGATCTTGTTCTTGCTTGTCCGTCGCATTTCGGGGTGCTCTGCTAGATCGCGATGAATAGCATCCATATCCTCGGGGATCGTCTGAAATGTTAGTTTTGGCTTCACATACTATTGAGGCAACTCACAGCGTGCGCATTGTCCATCTTCCTACGCTTTGGCTCGGGCCCTCTGTGCAAGCTCTGTGCCGGACCATAGCCGGCTGGTATGTCTGGGTATCTGGCCGTCGGCGGCTGCGCCCAGTCGTGTTCGACTGTTCCCATGCGATACTGGCCCTCAACCGGCATGGGTATCGCGCTGGCGCCGGCGTTGGGTTGTGGTATGCCTCCATGGTGCCTCATTTCCGGTACTCCTGGTACTCCCGGTACTCCCGACTTCTGCGCGTGCAGTGTGGCTGTCAATGCATCGATCTTGCGTTCGAGCTCGGCGACTCTACTGTCGGCCTTCTTCTGGCGCTTCCGTGTCGGCGGTGTTGTGATGCAAGGTCGGCCTGCTTTTGCGCAACGTCTGCATGATACATCAGGTCGCTCTTGGTCGCAACGGACCTTCAGTCCTCGACATGAATCGCATGCTCGTGGGCGCTTGAGGTCGGCGGGAGATTTGCCAGAACCAGGTGTGTCGTGTTCATGCGCGTCGTCGTGGTCGTCGTCATCGTGCTCTGTTCCTGGTGCGGTCGGCGATGTCTGCTCAAGGGCGGGATCGAGTATGTTCCCTAGTGGGGCGGGCTGCGATAGCTGGGGGTGGTGTTGAGCGGTCGGAGATGGCAGGTAGTATGGGTGGCCGGTGTTCTGCTGCTGCTGCGGTGCAGACGCGTACTGAGGCCGTGAAGATGGCGCCGAAGACGCGCTCGCAAAAAGTCTAGGATCGAGCAACGGATCGGACATGACGAATCGTCAATCTCGAGGCTTAAGTTCAATGACTGTCGGCGTCGGTAGTATAGTGACCGAACTTCCGCCTGTGGGTAAAGTTGACAGAAACCTCGGCGTTCAGGTGTCAGTGCGTACGCCAAGCCAAACTTGGCCTCTAGCTATTCACTTTTGTTTCTGTCATCACCTCACATATCAGAGCTATGTAGGTGCGCTGCGGCTTACGTTATCGTAAAGACAAGAGTTTGCAACAGTCGAATGTAGTGTAGACTCCTGAGCAAGTATTTTCAGCAACTTTGAAGAAAGCAGGGATTCAATTCTCCTCTCGAATGAGGGGTTCTTGGGAATTACAGCAGTACTTGAGTCGAGGCTCTAGCATGAGTCTTCTGTCATATCACATGTGATCGCATACAATACAAGGCTCGTCAATGTTGTAATGTGTTCATTAAAGAGATAGAGTTCATAAGATCATCAATAACATAAAACCATCCCGTTGCGCTCATCCTGAACTGACAGGTGGGATAATAGCAACCTCATCACCTTCCACGATCTGCTTGTTCGCGTCCTCGGCATCATCTTCGCCAACGTCAACGTACTCCATGTTGATCGTCATCGCGCAGCTGCTCAGCACCTTGTCACGAATACCCGGGTACCGCTCCTCCAGCATAGCAAAGACATCGCGAGCTCGGACGGGTGCAGGAAGATGTTCGCTCGTCTTGCCAGTGAACGTGGAGGCTGCTGCGAAATACAGAATCGAGAAGTGGCCCGCAGGCGCTTTGGCGGGTGCCATGATGCCTGTTGAGACATGTCAGAATTGTGTCGCGACATGGTCAAGTCCTAAGTGGGAACATTGAAAATTCAATCAGGAAAAAATTTGCTCCGCAGTCTGACGCCGAAGCGACGGTCGGATAATACATGCTATAATTTTGAATACATCATGAAAGGGGATGGAGTGGAAGGAGACGATGTACATACCTTGGGCAGGTGAGGTGAAGGAGAGATGGACGGAGGTGTGCGGAGGAACATGTGAGTTCGCGCGGCCATTAGCGTGTCTGCACAGACCACCACCCGAGCGCGCCCTGCCTCCGCCGCACTTTTTGTATTGACGACATCATCCACCATTCGCCTCAACATGTATCCTCGTTTTCAGCAGGCAGCGGGCCATGTATGCTTGCGGTGTCAATGGCGCTTGCTAAGCCAGCGAAATGCATCTCGGCAAATACAGCTTTCACGCGGGCTTTCTACTTTGAAAGTTTCGCAAACACCAAGGCGGGCGCTTCATGTCGCTGGCAGTGTAAGTGACTCGCTCAGTACGCCATTCGCAAACTGACACATATCAGCGCTCGCAACTATCCTCACATACCGCCACTCCCACACCGCCTCCAGGACCGTCTCTTCTTCCTCGACCCGAGGGCGTTGCAATCCGCGAATACCTCGAGCAGTGGCAACAGCAGTTTGGTGGGCCGACCGAGGAAGTACTTTCGGCGTTTGAGAATCATCCCGAACGTGAAGACATACAAAATGGCCTGTCGAAGTTGTCGTCCGCGTTCAAGGCCGACGAAGACGCCAGAGAGAACGAGTGGGATGCTGCTGAGGAAGACGAGGGCGAAGAAGTGATTACGATTGGGCTCTTCTTGAAGCCTGGCGACGTGGTGGAACTTTCACAACCGGGTCGTGAACCTGTGCTTGCTGTGTTCGTGCAGCAACTGAACAACGACAGTCAGTTCTTCTCCGCCAACGGCAGATGGACGCATTCGACCATAAGTCGGGTTTCCTTTGCCATCCAAGGTTGCATCGACCCAGCACTTCTCCAGCCGCTCATTCCATTCCTACCCACTGATCCCGGCGCGGCTAATCCCAAGGGCGAGGTTCATGTCCCGCGAGACTTTGCTGCTCCTGTGATAGCGAGTCTTGAGAATATGACTGAAGAAGCCGAGAAGATCTACCGAAAGAATGCTCCAGTCTTGGACACAGCCTATGATATCCTGGCAGACAAGACGAGGACACGTATGATGACACTGACACAGATTGCGAAGTTCCTGCTCGCGCGGGGTTCCCCCGACTGGGTGCCACCACCAGCAGCGCTACTAGCAGTACGAAAGGCCTTGAACCACAACGAATTCCGCTTCCGCTCCGATGGTCGTAACCATCGTCTGACAAACATGTTCGCTATACGACCCAAAACCGATGTCGAGGTCGTAGAAACAGTTCACGAGTGGATCCGAGAATACAGAGAATACCTTGCTCTTTCCGTCAATAGCCCTTCGGAAGCCAAGCGAAGCCGCACTGACGGCGCCACTCATATCATAGATTTCCTGGCAAAGGCCGGCAGGCTCATTTCAGCGAGTCGAAAGTTACGTGAGCCAACCTACGGCGGCCTTGGACCTAGTAAGACTCCAGCGACACAGAACGGGTCCTCTAATCTGCACATCACTTGGGGGGAGCCGTTCACAAGCGCTGACAAGCAGATCATCAACTTCCTACAAGCATGGGTACTGACCGGTCAGTTTACGGGTATGGCTGGCCTCCATGCTGCTTGTGCGAGCTTGATCTCAGCGTCAGGCTTCTATGGTTCGGACGTCTTTGGCGATACCGGATCTCCCGACGATACCCTAAGCAACATCAAACGTGCTACTGGATTATTGTTTTTACAAGAAATTGGCGTCATTTCACCACACGACAATCGAGCGATCTATGACGAGCAGCTGATGCTGCCCACTGTCCGTCTGTCCCGTAATCTGGAGTTACTCAACACTAAAGCGGAGCTGACAAGAAGGAATCCTGACTTCCGGGATTCAATGGCCAACCTACGTCGCGACTGGGGCTCGACCACCGTGTATTGCATTGACGATGTCGGCGCACAGGAGATCGATGATGGCATATCGATTGAACGGGTCAAAGACGCAAGCTCCGAGTTCTGGATCCACGTACACGTCGCGAATCCAACAGCATTCTTCGATAAGACCCACACCCTTTCTGGACTCGCCGCGCACATGACCGAGTCTGTCTATACACCGGAGCGATCTTTCCCGATGCTTCCGACTTGGGCTAGTCAAGGCCACTTTAGTCTTGATCGTGGCCGCCCTGTTATAACCTTTAGTACTCGCATCGACGGAGCCGGCAGTAAGCTAGAAACAAAGATACAGCACGGCTTCATTCAAAATATCGTCAGTATCACACCATCCGAGTTGGCTACTCTCATGGGTGATCAGAGTACTACGAACACCCGAAGGATTGTTGTCGGTGGAGAGGTGCCGCGTAGATCGGAGCGGCCGCCGCCGAGTGTTTCTCCAAGTCAACTCGAAGAACTGCGTGATCTTTATACTGCAGCTCAAGCCCTATGGGCTGCTCGCAAGGCTGCTGGTGGCGTCCGATTTGGTAGTTCGAACGTCAACGCCCGTGTTTTTGAAAGCGCCACCCAGGGAGGTCTAAGTTGGAACGCTCCCTCTCTGGACAGGGCACGATACATACAAGGAGACCCGATCATCGAGGTGACGAACTCGATACCAGAAGGCTTCATGCAGCTCACCATCGGGCCCAAGAACATCGTTGAGGAAATGATGATGCTTGCGGGTCAAACTGCGGCGGCTTGGTGCACGGAGAGGCATATCCCCGTCATGTACAGAGGCACTATCGAACCACCTAGCGGGGATCTGGATCCAAAAGAGCTACAAAAGCTTGTCCAAGCTCACTACGAAGAGCATGGAAAAGTACGACTCGATCTCACTGCGCGGTGGATTAAAGCACTTGGCATGGCTGTTGCACATTCTTCACCCTTGCCACATAAAATCATAGGAGTCCCTGGTTATATCAAGGTCACCAGCCCTCTTCGTCGATTTTCTGATATGATTGCACATTGGCAAATCGAAGCCGCTGTGCGATGGGAGGCACAGTCCGGTAGGAAGTTCGATGGGACCCAGGCTTCCATGTATAAAGCTCTTCCATTCTCGCAACGACAAATGCAGGAATCTATTGTAACTCTATCACCTCGGGAACGAATTATTACTCTAGCCAAGCGTCACTCAACGCGATTTTGGGTCGCTCAGGCGATTCACCGTGCCCTCAAATACAAAGAGGCTGCCCTTCCCGATTCCTTCAAGTTCTGGGCTCGTCGCGTTCGCCCAGGCCGTTACGCCCTTGGCGATATACCTGAGTACGGTCTCCAAGCTATCCTGAGCGGTGACTATAAAGAAGGTGATGAGTGGGAAGTAGCGCTAGATAGGGTCGACCTGTTCACGCGGTTGATCTATGTCAAGCCGATTCGCCTCCTTGATCGAGTCACTGATGCGCTTTGAGCAAGCATAGAGTCAAAAGTATGGTGCAATTTCATCGTGCAGAGACTCGGATTCTATCGATAAGCATCATACTTCCTTCCGAGCAGACTGTATGTCTGACAGGCGAACAGCTTGGCGTCCCGCGGTGGCGCGAGGAGGCGTTTTTGTACTACAGCACGGGACGGGCCCTCCGTCATTGCAGATCGCCCTCAATCACGCACCCGATTCCAAATTGCCAGCCTCACATTCAAGACTATGGTGGGCTGCGAAATAGTCAAGATAGCGCGCAGCAATAACGTCCGAAGCAATGGGAATTTGCCGATGGAGGCTAGAGCGACGGAGGCGTCACAGCACGCGCATCTGCAAGCCATTCCAAGCCACTAATGCATTTGCTACGAACAGCCAGCATTCGTGTAGATCCGTGGTGTCAAGATCGTGTTCTCCGCTCGGTTATGGAGATGAGGAAGCAACACGGCAAGCAACCCGGTTCGTCGTGCATGCGCGTGCGCTTGAGGAGACCCAGAGGCTCGGGCCGTCAAAAGGTGCGTCAGATCTGTGTGCCGTGTCAAGCATCCTGTAATGCCCCGACGGTCCCTTCAACCCGCTTGGCGATATCTTTTGTACAACAGCGCCTCAACGTTGATGAGGATTAGCGTCAACGCAATGCAACACCACCTATTCGGTAACCCAAAATTCGGTGAAAGCCCAGCATATCTATCATTAGCGTTCGTCTTTCTTCCAATGACTCGCGGACGTTCAATTCAAGAATGAGGCTCCACGTTCTCGTTTACTTATCACGGCAGTTGGCCTTGGGTGATGTCTGTCATTCCGTCCCTACATAATGGTACCCCGAAGCCTTTATTGTCGGAGGTCCAACGGCCTACCGAATATCCAGTATTTATCATGAGATCAACTGCTGTATCCAATCAATAGCCAACTGTCTTTGTATCGCTTCTCGCCCAGTATTCACCACTACGCAACACAACCTAGCAGAGCGATCATTTTCTACCATGGCTGAAAGTACTGGCGCACACATACATATCGCGCAAGACGAGGCCTCAATCTTGGCCGAGACCAACCGGAAGAAGCAACAGGCTCAACAGCCGCGCCAACTGCTCTCATGTACAAAATGCAGAGAGCGAAAGGTCAAGGTCAGTCACATCCATCGATTCGCATTACAGATTGCAACATATGAGATGCCGACAATATCCTCGCGGTGCACTTTGACTGCACACTGAGCTGACGTAGCGTAGTGCGATCGCACTAAACCATGCTCGGCATGTTGTGCTCGTGGCTCTCCACGCGACTGCCACTTCATCGCAGAAGATGGCAATTACGCCCCAATACAACAGAGTTATGAGCTTCGTAAACTGCGCGCCGAGAATTTACGTCTTAAAGAAAGGCTGCGCGCCTACAAGATTTCTGCAGATGATGATCTGGATCATGTGGATTCTTTGGAATCACCTCTTACTGAAGGTACTGTTCCGTCGAGACGGCGAGCTGTGAAGCAGAAGCGTTTCCAGACTTCCGAGTGGCAGGATAGCATCTACTTTGGCTCGCCTGGACTCGCTACTGTCCTCAGTGATGTATGTATATTCACACACATCTCAAACGCCAATCTAATATCACAAGTTCTCCTCTGCGGATGCTCGCGCTTTGCCATTGTCGTATACAATACCTCGAGCCTCAGATATGTTTCGCAGTCTGCCGACATATCCCTTCCCGACTCTCTTCGTTGCTGCACCCGATGAATGTATCCCACAGCTACTTAGTTGCCTCCCTGGAAAGGATGAGCTTATGGAGTACTTTGAAGTTTTCCAGCGGCTTGTCTGCCCAGTGCCTGTGGAGACGACGAAAAAGGAGATCGAGGCTTTCCTTTCCGACGCACGAAAGAACTCCCAACTCTATCCAGCTACTTTGGCATTGTTTTTTGGATTCATCGCGCTTGGCGCACAACATTCAGTCTGGGACAAAAGTGGAGGGCGATGGGACGCTAACGCCATCGAAATCGAGACTCAGAAGGGCAACGTCTACAGTAGGTGTATGCGATGCTAGTGGGGTTCGAGCTAACGCTCTTGATCTAGTTGCAGCAGCGATGCAAGCTTTACGACTGGCTTCTTTTACACACAAGCCATCTCTCTCCGCAATCCAGACGCTCCTCATGATTGGGGGTTATCTAACCAACAACGGAAGGATGCTGGATTCGTTCGCTTTATTCGGTACTACGATTCGCCTTGCCCACTCGATTGGCCTTCATCGTCACCCAAAGTATCTAAATCCTGCCCCTACGAATGAGAAGGACTGCATTATACGGCAGAAGATCTGGTGGCACATGCTGCACCTGGATGAACACATGTCTATGACCCTTGGAAGACCTCTGGGAATAAGCGGCATTGGTGACAATCCCTGGCCGACTGAATTGACGACCGACCCGGTTTTATTACGATTCGGCGAGTTCGTTAACCACTTCACGATACTGGCCAGACAGATAATGAGTAGTAACCCCTTGACGAACGCCAGGATCAATGAGTTCACCGATATACTCCGAAGATTACTAGAGACGATACCTGAAACGCTTCAGTTTCGTGACACGTGGATGCTTCCCGAAACGCCTCTGCCGGATTTAAGCGCCATAGCTACTGGTACGTTTCAACACTCTTTTGCCTGTATTTTGGTCCTCGTGCTCAACAGGTACGATCTTGCCATCGGAAGCCTGCACCTCGAGTTGGAAGTATTGGACGCAATCCCGAATCGCAGAACCGTGAGCGGCTTTTCTGCTGTTACCCCTTCTAGGGTCCAAAGAAGACGTCATCTGATGTATGCATTCGCTCACATGCTGCAGTATACTTCTCCAATGCTCATACTTACATCCTTCTTCTGAACCAACAGAAAATCGAGAAACATGCCACTTCTGCGACAACCTCAACTGGCAAGGATAATGTATTGCCATTCCAAGCTGCCAACCGCGCGTCCTCCTTGGACTTTTCACACGAAACATACTCAACACAGACTGCACCTCGCGGAAGGATGCTGGTACTTGCTTCATCAGAAGCTCTTATCTCTGCTTTCATGTTCTTCCACTACAGAGACCCAGCTGCGCTGATCGATTGGGCGATCGCACAACAGGCCTTCAATGGATGCATGATCCTTCTCTTGGATGCATTAGAATGCCGAACCGTTACCACTGGCGCATTCAAAGCAGAACAAGCGTTCGTTGTCTTCAAGGAACTGTACGAGAACAGCGTCCACGAACTTGCAGGGTTGGCTGTAGAGAAGCTCAGTCTTTGCTTGCAGGAGTTGCACAGGCTAGTAACACTGTCGTCCGACGTCCAATCGCGTGGACAGAGGCATACGGCTATGCAAGGGGCGCGGCACAACGAAGCAACACGAGCTTCGGCTGTGACTGACACAGTGATGGGTCACACTGGAATGTTTCTACTCGAGGACATGAGCCAGCAAACTGCCGCGAACGAAGTCTCTTCCCCGATGGCTTGGAACGATCCCGATATTGCCACCCAGACCGAAGAACATGGTCATGCAGGTCTACATCGCGGAGGTACATACAAGAAAGAAGCAGCATCACCCACAGATTCTGTCGCCAACGCTCGATACACAGACGGCATGCAGGGCTTGCGCAGATCGACCACGTTGCGATCAGCGTCCACACGATACGCGACTCTGTCTGTGGACGATCATATGCAGCCACATGGTTACACTGCTCCAACCTCGCCTGCAGACTTTTCGACGCTGCATGATCATCAGCTGAAGAACACGATAGATCATCGTGGGTGGCAAACGTCCCGAGGAAATGAGAGTAGCCGTCCGCTTCACTTATATACCCAATTCCAGAAAGTCGCAGCGCCAGGAGACCCGCAGCACGACATGTTTTGGCATCATGATTGGAGTCATGATGTACCCGAAGGAACTCAAGAGCGCAGGGCCCAATCCTCCGCCTGGCCACAAAGGCATAACTCATGTCCCGCCGTGCCTCCAGTCAACATTCATCCGCCAATTCTCAGGCCAGCTTTCTCCTCACCAGATGATATCGACAGGTCCACAATGGCGCAAAAGTCGCTAAACGCGCCCATCACCTCAGCCGAGCTGACATCTTTCAACACATCGCAAAGCTTTCCCCAAGTTGCCGAGACGAACTCGTACGCCCCTTTCACTCCTCGGCGCCCAGCACCATTACAGATGTCAAGCATTGCGGAGATTACACCAGGCTTTTCATCAACCGTTCTGGCAAGGTTTCATGAAGAGCAAGGGCAGATTAGATCACAAGCCGTGATATATCCGTCAACTATCGCTGCGTCGTCATCGCTCACGCCTATGACAGAGAACATGAATATGAACGACTGGAATAGATACACGGGCAGCGAAGGCCTGGAGTAGGCTATCATCTGACCGGTACAGCGCTGCCTTGACCAGACTGCGAAGGCGCGGGCCACTTATTGATGAGATGTATATTTGGTATCGGATATGAAGCTTTTCAGCTCAACATCATAGCGAGTCAGAGTGAAGGATATTCCTTTGCCTTAGTCACACACATGCCACTGCTTGGTTCGGCACATAGTCATGTGTACCAGCAGACAAGATTACTGAACCAAGACTGTTGACATTATCCTCCTTCTTTCCCCATTTCCTTCTTCAGGCCTAGTAGTGTATCCGGCACTTCGGTTCAGATAGCATCTTAACCCGAAGCAACTTGGAATTATTTGTCAGAAGCAAGCCCACAGTCTGAGTTAGGCGGCTTCCAGCGAATATTCGCTGGAAGCCGCGCGAGGCTAGATGTACGACTGGCTGGTACCAAAAACGCATGTACGAAGTGCATGTTATTTTTCTAAATAAATTAAGAGGGATGTATAAGCAGTTATTTTGCTAAAGTACACAGAAATAGAAGTTGTTTACGCATCCTCCTCTACGTCCTCTTTGTCTACCCGCACTCCTGCCTTTGCTATTGTATTAACCTATTCTGCTCTTCTCTTTTTAGCAGAGTCCTTAAATAGGCAAAGTAAGAACTT